CCACTGACGCGTTCCTGTGTGGTGGGTCGTCTGTTCACGCATTTGTCCCTGTGTGGTGAGTTGTCTGTTCACGCATTTGTCCCTGTGTGGTGAGTCGTCTGTTCACGCATTTGTCCCTGTGTGGTGAGTTGTCTGTTCACGCGTCCCTGCGTCCCTGTGTGGTGGCTTGTCTGTTCACGCGTCCCTGTGTGATGCGTTGTCTGTTCACGCGTCCCTGTGTGATGGGTTGTCTGTTCACGCGTTCCGGTCGTCGGTAAGTTGTCGGTGTGCTTAGTTGTCTGAATAGTTTACACCATGATTACTAGACAGACAGCCGGGGCCTCGAGCTCCTAACATGTACAGTTGTTTGCGGATTCAAGCAAGGTGGCTGAAACTGAAACAGAGTTTAACTTTGACCATGGATGTACTTAGTACATCCATGCTTTGACAGACTGTTGTTTAATAATAACCAAAACAAACTATAAAATAACCGACACCAGTTTTAAGCCAACAACAATCGTGTATGACCCAATACATTCCTTCATATTACGCGTATCAGCAGTGACTTGATAAAGATAGCCAACAAAACATCTTGATATACGAATATGTTCTCCACAAAGTTAAGCACAGAGAGATAAACGAAAAATACAAGATATACAAGATATATTGTAATATCTTTTAATCGGAAAAATTGCACAGATTTAAAAAATATATATATATATATAGTACAACAACCGGCCTTTGGTCACTAGTAGTCAATAGAAGAATATGGACTCGAGCCTTTTCTACACGGAGAGATTGCAAACAAGAAACCGTCCTATAAGAAAACAAAGGCAATATGTTATTTACATAGTGCTGTGTGTGATTACCACTGGGTGGCTAGGATGAATGTAAAACAGTTGTAACTGAAACCACGGTTACTAAAACCGTGCTGAAACCGAAGAGAGCAGTGGCCAGTCGAACCCAGTAAGTAGCGCCCTCCGCCGGTTAGTATGAGTTTTCTTATTCTCACCTTGATTAATGCAGGCAGGGCTGCCCAGAATTGTTTGTTAGGGATGACGTCACTTCCTTCAGCGTGTCGAATAAATTTGTTGAATAGAATTCCACCAATCAGGTAGACGACTACCAGTACGACGGCACTGAGTAAGAACAAGAATTACGTTACAATTATGTTGTAATTCTCCTGTGAGTGTAACACAACTCTTTTAATACACACACACGGGAACGTTATTAAATCACATTATTCCATTTTTATTTGCTAGCTACAACTACAATGGCAACAATTTAAATTCCACCAGTCTGCCGGTCCAATAAGAGAAAACGTTTTCTTGTCACTCGAACTTGAGATGTTTAGGTATTTTATATTTGGAAGTGACGACTCATTCAAGTTGCCGAATCCACCAGTTTGGAGGGGTGACCCGAAACAAACGTTCCTTGGCTGGCGAAGATGCTCAAACTTGTTTTCTGTGCTGAATTGTCGAAATGTTTTGAAATGATCATTATTTAGGGACTTTTCGTTGAAAATGTTCGCTTATGTGGCTCTTCCACGAATTTAAAGACCGACGTTGACGTGCTGTAAACAGACATTGCACGTTACATTGGTTGTATATGACGTTGCATAGGGCCCATATTTAACACGACACGACGCAGCGACCAAAAACCTTTAAATGAAACTATTAGCAGTACTTACATAATACAAAGAACGGAACCCGCACTAAGACCACCATTGCCACCATCAATTGGGCAGCAATATTTTGATGACAAATCGAAATCCTAAAAGCAAACAATGACAAATTAACCACGCAGTTACTAGTATGAAGCGCATGGGCGACACGTTTTCAATATACGCTCAACTTACGTAGTTTGTTGAAAAATCCGCACTACCGTACGCATGGAGTGTGTCCGTTATTCCCCCAGGTGTGCAAATCAGTTTCACTTTACTAGTTCTGTAAATATTACAATATATGAATTATTACGTGTATGCACTACGATCTGTTGTATCCAATACACATTTTCGATAAGTGGCGCCCTCTGGTGACGATTTAGTCTACTAGTATGGCGTACTTTGGGAAATAGCGGTTCTAGTTGAAAGGAAGGTGGTTCAAAGTTAGGTGTCGATATCTTCCGCAAAAGCAAAGTAAAAAGTCGATCAATACTCCACCCTGTGCCGATTATCACATAATGGCGTACTCGCTTACCTCTCCAATGGATCAACAGTGCCCGTTCCTTTGTAAGTTATGGTGACGTCATTACCTTGCATGCTGAATGAAGCTGAATCTTGGGTACCGCAGTTGTAGTACAACATATAAGACTCCTGACAACACTGTTACAGTACGAACAGAACGATGTTACTGGGGTAGCAATCCCAGGGGGTAACCCTATATTAAAACCTTACACAATGTGCATTCTTGCTAAAAAAAAATAATAGGCCCCTGGGGCTGGCAGCACATTGGCAAACCATACCTCCTATTGCGGACGCAATGTAAATTTAGTACCCCCTAGAGCAGACATATTGAAGAAAAAACACCCCCTATTGCAGACATATATTGAGAACATCCCACCCCCTATTGCGACCATTTTCTGTCGTTTTTTTGTACTCAAGTGGAGTGTGATCAACTCAAACAAGCTACTTATGGTTGCTGTGTATGCAATTCCTGTTGGTGTCATTCATTGTTTTATGTGCCCGGGGCCGCAAATTGGGGATCTAGGGCGGTGTATGGGAGTGGTTGTTGCAAGAGGGGGGCGACAGCGGGAGCAGCAACCCTGTGTGTTTATTCCCGGGGACCTATTCGGCCTATTGCATACATTAACATTTTAAAGGGGGCATATTTACCTCCCGCGCGGCCCGCTTTCGAATGTGAAAAACACCGCCCTTTCCCGCTAAATTTGGAACGCACATGGGGTAGTAACGGCATATAGAGTGCCCCCGGGGTAACAATATAGTAAACAAATCGCGGCAATCGTCGCGCCGTCTCCTATTTGACATGGGACTCATAGCAACGTACACAAGACGTGCGGAATGGATTGTTGATATTTTTTTATTGAATTGTCAAAAATCCATTTTGTGGATAAGGAATAGTTTGTTTTTTTCCTTCGCGAATGGACAACGAGAAAGAGCAACGAGAATTTTGTGTATATCATTCTCTGTCCTCATCGTCATTGCATTTGGATCAGAGTGGAACACGATTGAGAATGTCAAGTCGCGCGTCTCTCTCGGTCTCAACGAGAACTCAGCGCCCATTTGCGAATAAACTACTGAATTATAATATTTGTGATATTCTGTTTAAACACCGTCCCTCAGGGACGGTGGTTTAAACTAGAGAAAATTCCTGTGAGTCTTATTTTAAAAAAATCCAGTTATCGTTGGTTGCTAAATCACTCTGAATAATATCTTTAACGGCCAGGGCAAGGGTTGTGGATTTTAGCTAAAACCAAGGACAGAATAGTGCGCCCGCATGCGCGAATTAGTATCATGTAGTTTCTTGTACGCGTTATTACAGAAATCCATGTGAAGCGAGGTAAATAAACAAAAATAAGACTAGGCGGTAAATAACAAAACACAAGGACAGTAAACACACGTCTTCATCCACGCAGCCACAGTCACTCAGTTGAGGGACTGTGACGCAGCGTACAATGTACACGCCACCCTGTCTTCGAATGTAACAACATACGAATGTAAATCCCTATTAACCACGGTTCTCCTAGTAACTTTCCCCTTTAGTAGAGAGTACGTTGAATCATGTACTTACAGCTACGTCGGTACAGTCACTTTCTTCTGTAAAACCAAAACACGGATTGTAACTGTAGGTGTTCAAGTCATCCCCTAGAACATTGGCAAACCTGAATCATATGAATATAAAATACAGTCATACACTATTCTAATAAGAATATATTGATCATATGTGTGTTACTGTACTCTCAGTGCATTCAAACAAATGCATTCCTTTCATCTTTATAAATATTTATAAATTTTACATTTCAAAATGAAACGAAAGGTTTTTATTGGCCAATTTAGCGCACTGTACTCGTCGATCGGCTGGTTTGATTCATCTGCTATATATTTATTTTGATCTATTTTCGACAATTGGTGACGGGCGCCGCGAAATGATGACGTACACGCAAACGTGGTCGAAACCAGTCTAGATTGTAAGCGTCATTCAAACAGTCACAGTGCCCGCCAGATGAAATTTTACGCAATTGTGCCAGAAGGAACAAAATCAGCTTAGTAAGGGTATCCCAATACCCATAGATCAGTCGCCTACTTTGAATGAAGTTCATTAATCCACATTGTTTAGAATAGAATAGAATAGAATAGAATAGAATAGAATAGAATAGAATAGAATAGAATAGAATAGAATAGAATAGAATAGAATACAATACAATACAATACAATACAATACAATACAATACAATAGAATACAATAAAATAGAATAGAATCTTTTTGCACTATCATGTCAATTCCGGAGCATGAAGTTCACCTTGACCGTGCTTTGTTGGTATTGAAATGTGATTTCGTGGTGTAATCTATCGTTTCACTGTGAATGAATTATATCTACAACGATATCAACCATTTTCCCTTTTGCAGGTGACGCAGTTTTTACTAGCCCATATATCATATTTTCGTTTGTCTAAAACCGTGATGTTGGCCATACACTATAATACTCAATGACACAGACATGGACATGGATCACGAGTTCCCCCAACGGTAAATAAACATGATAACGATATTATGAATAGTCTATAACGTTACCTCGCGGTACCGTCGGTGTTGGCTAAGGGAGAAAGATCAATCACGCCACCATTGCTCAGCTTACACGAGCACGAATTGATGAATTTACACTCTTCTGCTATGACGTCAGTAATTAATACAAACGTCACGGTTGCCAACGATGTCAAGATCATGTTTACTGGTATATAATCCATGCCACAGTGGAGCACATCGACTAGGGGGCGTTGTTTTGGTCTGATATACGAGATTAAAAATTATCAGATTGAACAATATATCACACACACTTCATGCTCATCCTCCCGTCGCCGCCAGAGTTTATGTCCGCTTCGAGACTCAACGAAAGCTTGCCGTGGCGTACGACGATGCTCATGCTAAGAAAACTTGAACACCATTTTACATTATTTTGAAATGCACGTTTAGCATTTTTGAAGTGAATGTTTGGCAGTTTTAAAGTAGAGTTTCAAAATACCAACTGTGCACTTCAAAAATGGGAAACGTGCAAGCCTTCCATGCCAAATGTGAATTTAAAAAATGGTTGGTTAAATTTCGAAAATTTCAAAAAAATGTCATAGATTTTTTATATATATATATATATATATATATATATATATATATATATATATATATATATATATATATATATTATTTGACCATCATTTTAGTTTTCAAAATATTGCCTGAATGATGAACATGTACAGAAACGTGCTAGCCGTTGGCCTAAATGCAGCGCCACCCGCGTCCAGTATTTTGTCGACTTTCTTTTTATTTATTTATCAATCATTCAAGATGGCGGAACACATGATGCCACAGAAGCGATATTACCGTCAACGTGCACATTCCAATCCAATGGCCGATCACAGTTTTGACTAGTAAGTAGGAATGTCGAGTGCAATACTATGCTGTGTAGTAACTCTAACCGTGCCTGAAGTCATTGCTGACCAATCCACAATGAATCAAATTGAATTTGATATAAGGGTTATCCATTTGAAATTCGTGGGGGCCTGATTTAAAAAAAATATATCGTATGTTCTCGACAGTTTTGTTATTAATGTTCCCATCAAGTCTTTTTACATTATCGATTGTCAGACAAGTTTGTTGTTCCTTTTCAACCGTGGTAAATAATTTTCGCTAACCAGAGTGTGATTTTCACTACATTGTACTTTGAAAATTTGTCTAGCCGCCGTTAGAGGGCGTGATAAACTACCGGCACGATGTGTTACATTGTTTTTCACACAATCCTCACCGTTAAATTGTTTACATATAAAAATAATATGTTGTTATTTTTGCTCGTTACTTTAAATTATATAGGCATTCAACAAATTAATTTTCTTCTATAGAATCTGCTACATATACATTTTATTCAATCGCTTAGGTAGTTCCTTAAAAAATGGTTGAGGTTGTTGCACAAGGTGTGTTTGAATTTCATGTAAACGATGTCCCATACGAGTCCCATATCAAACTGGACACAACGTGTTCTTCAAGTGTATTAGGCTGCAGTAAATATAAAGGGAGGAGTGTTACTAAACAATATATTATTAAGTGTGTACTTATTCTATTATAGTTTTGCAATGCTAATTGGAATCATGTCTATATATGTACAGGCAAGGAATTATAGGATAAGGGTATTCGACCGTACATTACGCTGATAACTGATAAACTCATGTTCCCATCTAAATCTATCTGAAATTGTTTGACACTATGATCTAACCAATACTTGCATATTGTGCAGAAATTTGGACATGTGACATAATAAAAAATATAAACTATGATCTAACCAATACTCGCATATTGTGCAGAAATTTGGACATGTGACATAATAAAAAATAAAAACTATCTGATGCACTTATTGTCACCAATGGAAAAAATGCACTTAAAATTTTGCAAGTACATACTGAAGGTAATCTGCAGGACCACAAACCTTGCCTGCTTATTAGAATTGGGATGGTACCCCTAATAACTACATGTATCAGACAGATGTTTAGATATTGGTTGAGATTGCGCAATATGCGTGAATACAGCCTCATAAATGAACCATACAGATATTGCAATCAATATGGATAACTCAGACAGCCAAAATTGGGTCAATTGTATTAAAACACTTCTCAAAGACCTTAATATGGAACATGAGTGGGAAAATGGAAAGATTAATGAGAACAAATACCTAATAAATAATGTTACTACAGCACTTGAAACAAACTTCAAAATAAACAGTAGGGAGTCTCTAAACAATGACAATAAAGGTATTAACCACAGAAATAAACTACTTACTTATAGAAAATTAAAAACTGAATTTGGACTTGAAAATTATCTGCTGACAGTAAATAACCCACTACACAGATCAACAATGACCAAACTAAGATTAAGCGCACATGTTTCACAAATTGAAATGGGCAGATACCATAAAATTAACAGTACTGAAAGAAGCTGTCCTGTATGCGATACACATGATATTGAAGATGAGATATCAGACTCACTAATTTGCTTAGGAATTGCTATAAATATTTGTCCTGGGAGGATCCTGCAATTGACCTTTTCTGAGTTCTTTCTTCTTGTACAGAGTTTGCGAACAGTGGAGTCAAAATCAATATGGCCACTACTGACGCTACATTATTTTCTAAAATGATATGAAATATAATTGTTTTAAGAACAAGACTGAAGACAAAGTCATTTTGATGTTCATAAAACTTTATTTCAATTTCATATTTCTACTCCACTTAGCCCAGTGTCCCCAGATGCAATGGATTGGTCTGAGTATTATCCAAAATATTTTACACAAAGTAAAACCAGTCAGGAAGACCAAGCTACAGAAGTGAAATTACATGAAGTAAAATTTGCTGATATTGGGTGTGGATACGGTGGTTTGTTAGGTGGGTAGAGCTCTATCTCTAGGATGCAGGTTATTCTGGAAGAGCCTGCATATGAAGTATTAAAATTAAGTTAAAATCTTCAACACCAAATCTACTATAGATATATATTTTGAGAGAATCTCATACTTGTGCTGTTAGTGTAGTTGACTGTCTACTAATAGTTTCTCATTAATCTGTGCATTTTAATTAGCTACTTTGCATACAACTATTTTCACAACTTATTAATAGATTGAAATGTGATACTGTTTATTGCATTTGTTCATTGCATTTGTTATATGCAGGAACATTTTTTTAGAATTTTTAGTTGTTTGTTAAAAAAAAATATGCACAAGAAAAATAATAAATAAGGATAAATAGACAGAATCATATATGTTACTGTACATTATTTTAGATCTGATCTGATTCGGTCAGCTGGGAGATGTCATTAATTTGATCATTTGCACAGATTATTTAGATGATGTCATCTTACTCATTGCTCAGTTATTTCACTTGGTCTGTAGAGTGAATTTGGTTGTACTTCTCTGTGCTCAGCCTATTTTTAATATGATATGTTACTTTAATTGTTTAAAAATTGGTAATGGGATTGTTAATGACAATAAAATGATAATATTTTTTTCCCCTTATTTTAGTTGAATTATCTCCACTTTTCCCTGATACCTTGATGCTTGGAATGGAAATACGAGTGAAAGTATCAGACTATGTACAAGATAGGATTAAAGCTCTAAGAGAAAAGCGTTGTGGTGAATATAACAACATTGCTTGTATTCGTACTAATGCTATGAAGTATCTACCAAACTTCTTTAAAAAAGGGCAGGTATGTCACTTTGCAATTAGTCAGAGATGAAGTTATTGAACTTGAGTCAGATAAAGTTACTGAACTTGAGTCTTAGATAAAGTTACTGAACTTGAACCTGAGATAAAGTTACTGAACTTGAGTCTGAGATAAATTTACCGAACTTGAGTAAAAAATAAAGTTACCGAACTAGAATCAAAGATAAAGTTACCATACTAGATTCAAAGATAAAGTTACCGAACTAGAATCAAAGATAAAGTTACCGTACTAAAATCAAAGATAAAGTTGCCGTACTAAAATCAAAGATAAAGTTTCCAAACTTGAGTCAGAGAGAAAGTTACTGAACTTGAGTCAGAAATAAAGTAAGATGCAGTGAACTTATTAAAATAAAATATAAAATAAAAAAAAATTTCATTAGCTATTCTGGGCGATAAAAATGCACTCGATGCCTGAGGTTTGTCACATTTCTTGAATTTAATAACTGTGCTGGTTCAATACAAATGTTTATTGCCATGTCGCGATGGCGATGTAATCCCCTTGATTGCGAAAATCGAAATCAATCAATCAATGCCATGGAAGATAAGTCCACAATTGCATGCACCTCGGCCTGTCGAATGTCTTGATGAGCCTGGAATGAAATGTGTTGTTTCAAAAACTTGATATGTTCTGCAGATTCAAAATCAACGCTTCAATTGTCTTTGGAAATGTTCTTGGAGTTTGGGAAATTGGGTCAAATCACAGTCCCTCAACAGTTGAGGGACTGTGGTCAGATGCAGATCATTTAATTGAATTTTTTTTTTTTTAATGAATATTTACTGTAAAAGTTGATATTTGACACTGATATTACCAGTCTTGTAAAATATGTATAATTCACGGCATTTATAAATGTGCAATGCATGGTTATGTTTATATGTATCAAAATATTTCTATTGCATTAACCAAGACTGTAAGCCAATTCACTGCCATACATTTTTTATTACACAGACCCATTCATGTTTATTACTATGCATGTGTTCCACTGTTCCTTTCAGGGTAGTGAATATTCTTTGCTGTATTTCCCCTGTCAGTTTGCATCATCATATATCACTAGAATTCCATGTATTATATAACTATAAATTCCAGAGAACAGCTTCATGAAATAATTTTGCATAATATAGTCACAGTGTACCCACAATTCTTTGCTTTCATTCTTGTATTAACATACAGTGGACTTCTATTAAGCCAAGATGGTTATATATGATGTATGGCTTCATATATTGAAGTGATATAACTCTAGGATTTAAGATTTTTTTTAAATTTATTTAATAATTATATGTAGATATATATATATGACTGTTGCTACATAGCCATCAACATTTGCAGGATTGATAACTTAGCATTGTATGGTTATAATGTATGATCAGTTGAAGATTTTTAACATTATTCAAACCAATGAAAAAAAGGTAATAATGAAGCAAAATGCGTTGTCACAGAGAGTTACTACTAATCATGTGTACTTTTTTGTTGGTATATTTATTTATAAAATAATATGTTGACCCTGTTTTTTTCCAGTTAACAAAGATGTTTTTCTTGTTTCCTGATCCCCATTTTAAGAAAACAAAACACAAATGGAGAATAGTTAGCAGTACACTATTAGCTGAGTATGCATATGTCCTGTCAATTGGGGTAAGTATTACTAAATTGAAGGGAGTAGTACATTGTTGGCTGAGTCAGTGAATACCACTAGATTGAAGGGAATTTTTATGTTGTTCAATCTCTCTATAGGGTATGGTGTACACGATAACAGATGTACAGGAAGTCCATGATTGGATGAAAACACACTTCTCTGATCATCCTCTTTTCACATACATACCTGCTGAAAAACTAGTAAGTACAGATTGTTCTGAGTTTGAATGGTGATTATCATCGTGCCATGTATGAGCGAGATTTGTGTTGATAAACAGTGATTTTCTCACAATTCAATGAGCTCTCCTAGTGGCAAGCATGGAAGAGTTTTAAACTGGTGTTGTGCACTAGACACCAACTTTTACTCCTTCAAATCATCCTAGTAATCATCTTGTTGAACCTCGGTAATGTCTCTGTTTTGAGTGCACAACAGTAAAAGTCACCATCTTTGTTAATATTGGACCACTATCTCGCACATACATGGCATGATGACCACCAACTTTTAACTAACCAGTGATTGGATATGATTTTTATCTCATATCACAGTATTCTGTTAAGACATACCCTTCAATAGATATATGCATTCTATCACTATCTCTGGAGACTTTCAGCAGTAAATTTGTATTTTTGCTACCCAGTAAATCGTCATGCATCTAAGATTTAACATTTAAGTCATAACAATGATTTTTGTGTGAATTGTGATGAAAACAGATTAGCAGTGGATGTTTTTAAAATGAAGTGTTTAATCAAATTGAGAGTGTGTGTCATCCATATTCATGATTATGAAAACACTTATGTGTAAAATAGCCAAATTGAAACTATGACTATAATACTGGTCTTCTTTGTCGTCATGAAATGAAGAGAGGCACCTGCCTAGCCAATTCATTATTTTTTTCAGAATTTGAATGGGACTGATTTTCCATGAAAACAGGTGGGCTTATAATTGTAATAAGTATATTAATAATTATAAACATGCCTTGCCTCACCTCACTGTAAGCATTTAATAAATTCGGTTATAAATATGGTTTCACTACTGTTTTATATAAATTGGTTATGAGCGGTGGGTTGGATCATACCCATAGCAACCATGACCGCATCCATAGTAACCAGCTGGTATTTTCTTAAGGACTCCAACAATAATCATACATTTCCTAATTACTGTTTTGTGGGTATTTCGGCCAAAATTATGTACATAGACACTGTGAGATCAAAGATCAACATATTTGAAACATGCATCCATTTTCCCAGCTACTTTCTATCAATTGAAGCCAAAACAATGTCTATGGCCTTAGCAACCATGACCACTCACTCATAGAAATTGATGAAAGTTTCATAATAATATTTTCTTGACTACATTTTTGTTGCTTTTTCTGGAGAAAATGTATAGGAGATCCTTTTTAGCAATAATTACATTATGTTACTTGATTTGTCTTGAAATAGAAAGATGATATTGTCATCGACAAGTTGTTCGAGAGTACAGAGGAAGGCAAAAAGGTATCAAGAAATAATGGAGAGAAATTCATGGCAGTATTTCAGAGAACACAAGACCCTTTATATACTGATGGATGAGCCATGGTTTGCATCAAGGTCTGACTCTTGTTGACATTGCAGAAGGATTTGAGTATGAAATCCAGCCATGAATTAGTGACTTTAGATCATGATATCACGTGACTCCGTTGGTTGTTGACTTAAAAAACCAAGATATCCAATCATAACATTCTGGTTCAAAAGATGAATTGAACATCAGAATCTGTTTTACTCTGATGTTGAAAGTCTTTGCTGTTATCTTGTGTTTACTGGTATCTCAAGAACCAATCGTTGGATTCTAGTCAAACATGGTACATACCAATAGATGCACTGGATTATTTCACAGACCTGAATAGATTTGGGATCGAATGTTTGAATATTTATCACCTAATTTGCATAATAATTAGGTATACCAACAAATAAGCTTTTTGTTCAGTATACTATTTGATTTTTAATATTTCGTATATTTTATATATTTCCTCAGATCATTGTTTTTTCTAGGCTTTTTGATTTATTTCTGTATGTACTTTTCTTTTTGTTGAATACATTGTGTTATTGACTCCCATGTGCGAAGCACAAAATGGGAGTCTTTGCAGTTAGTGTGTCTGTATGTGTGTGTGTATGTGTGTATGTGTGTATGTGTGTATGTGTGTGTGTGTGTATGTGTGTCCGACTGTTCCACTGCTATCTCAAGAACCATACATCGGTTTTTGATGAAACTTGGTGCATAGATGCTCTGGGCCAATGCGCAGATTTGATTAGGTTTTGGTAAAAATCCATGCTCGTTAATTACCTAATTTGCATGATAATTAGCTAATTTTTAGCTGTTCTATGACTGTTCCACTGATATCTAAAGAACCACTCATTGGATTTTGATGAAACTTGGTACATAGATGCTCTGAACATATGCGCAGATTTGATTAATTTTTGGTAAAAATCCGTGCATATTAATTACCTAATTTGCATGATAATTAGCTATTTTTTAGTGGTTCCATGACTGTTCCACTGATATCTAAACAACCACGCATTGGATTTTGATGAAACTTGGTACATAGATGCTCTGAACTAATGCTAGGTTTTGATTAGTTTTTGGTAATAATCCGTGGATACTAATTACCTAATTTGCATAATGATTAGTCAATTTTCGGTTTTTCCACTGAT